ACGAATTGTAGACCTCCTGTCAAAAGTGATCGATTTCTTGAGGCTACTAATAAATAAAGACCGATCACTATTCGTAAAAATCTGTTAATTGCATTACTGCTGGCAATCCTGCCACGGGTGGCTTCTTATTACAGTGTAGCCACACCATTGTACGATTACACCAACTTGTGTAATCCACACATATGTACGGTCACACAAGATGGTGTGACCTGCCCTTCCATTCAAAGGTACGTGTAGCCCCGTTGCACCCCCCTATTGAAATCGTGAATATCCGCAATTCACATTTAGTTGTCGCCTCATACGAGGCTCGTGTATCTGAGACACCGTTACGTTCTAAAAGACAACCTTAAATATTCTCCGCTCAACGAGGCCTGTGTCGATGACGTGCAAAACACCAAGCCTAGCTGGTTCCGACATCGCCCGCAGAAAGAGCCCTTCTCCTTCTTCTTCTGCACAGGTTGCATCTCCGGACGAAACGTCCGCGGCTTCAAAGAAAGCACATCCCAAGACCATGGCAACCGAGCGCAACACACCGCGCCCGCCCCGGGCGACGGATTTCGTCGTCGAGGAGTTGGGGGAAGTCGATTATGAGTCGGATACTCCTTTCCCAGCATGGGAAGACGAGGATGATGAGGTGCACCAACGGCGCGATGTGAGCCCAGCTCAAACCTTGCGAAAGCTGTGTCCGACCCCCGACCTCTCGAATTCGGGGGGAAGTGGTATTGTTACCAATCGCCTCGACGAAGCACAGAAGCAGCAATTGGAGGCTACCCACTGTCCTCCCGTGCTACGCACGACTATGAACGAAAATGTCGTCGAAGTATGTCTGTGCATACGCCCTGTGGGGCCTGAACAACTGCGTCACAAGACGATTAAATGTTGCTGGCGCATTTGACAGCCCTTGGGGCATCACCAGCCACTCCCAGAGCATGCCGCTCGGAGTCGTTTATGCTTACAAAAAGCTCAACTCTGCCACCATTCCGGCACCGACGCCGATTCCTAGAAAAGATGTTCTTGAGAAGAACATGGTGGGATGTACGAAGTCCAGTGTACTCGACTTGGTCGATGGGTATTACCAATTGCTCATGAGAGCGAGCGATATTCCGCTAACAGCGGTGAACATACGCCACTTGCCGTTCGGCCTCCAAACACAGAACGTGGGTTTCGAATGGGGAGACTTGCTCTCACGTACCATCCCTGCATCGTGTTTCGCGCGGAAAAATGCGTCAATGATGTCGCACTGCTCCTTGGGCAGGGGCCATTGGCTTGTTACGCAGTATTTGATTTCCAGAACCAGGTCAATCTCATGACGCACACCCCGGTCCGGAGGTAGGACCGAAGGCGGGTTTTTGGAGACGACGTCTTGGATTTCCTTTACCAAAGGATAGTATGAATCCAAGGGATTCCGTAGGATCGACGATCCACTTCGTGCGTTCAGCCCTCTCTTGGTGTCTTCCAAGACAACTTCATCTACAAGCGATGACGAGTGATCTTCTCGTCCAGTCGTACAATAACCACTTCGGCCAAATCGCCTGCCTTCAAGGCAATGCCGAACTCTTCCAGGGATATCTCGTCCAGCTCAAGAAGAGCAACTACTGCAGGTATAGCCTCAAGGCGGACGTCGCCATCTTCCTCCCCGTTGACGAAGGTGTAAAACTGTGTAATGTCGTCTACGGTAGACACACCCTGGATTAGGGTCGACGCCCGGCGTCTTGCAGCCAGCATAAGGCGTCGCCGTCGCCTCTGTACAATGGTTCTT